TGGTAGATAATATGTGATGTGTGGTGTGTGGTAGGTAATGTGTGGTGTGTGGTAGGTAATGTGTGGTGTATGGTAGATAATATGTGAGGGATGGTGTGTGGTAGGTAATGTGTGGTGTGTGGTAGATAATATGTGAGGGATGGTGTGTGGTAGGTAATGTGTAGTGTATGGTAGATAATATGTGAGGGATGGTGTGTGGTAGGTAATGTGTGGTGTATGTTAGGTGATGCGTCACTGGAGGTGCACGCTAGCAGACCCACCTGTAATCGTGATCAACGACTCTCACGTTGAACACGTGTATGGTACTCATGTTCTGCGCCCAGACGATGGAGGAAGCAGCGCTGGAGTTGAGCACTTCGTACAGCTGTGAGCCGTTAAACTCCCCCGCCGCCCAGCTGAAGCACGACCTGTAATTCTGAACCACCCATTAATTACAAGTGATAGCTATTAATTACAGGTGATACATGCTTAATACAGGCAATGCCTGGTGTACATACAGGTAAACATACTAATTATATATGATAGCTGTGTTTAGTACAGGCAATACCTTGTACATACATATAATTCCTATTAAATATAAGTAATTCCTATTAATTACAGGTTAGGGATGAAGAGGCATGAGAAGTTATAGTTAAACCTGTGTTACCGTACACCTCTATAGAATGGACACCTGCCTATAGAAGACACTTTTGGTGTTTCCCTTGAGTGGCAGTTACACACAGGTTTGGCTCTAACTATATATACTCGGGGTTTGAAACTGAGGGCAGCAAGCAGCAGGTTTGCTGCCTACAAGGCTAACTTTGCTCCCTGCTCTCAATGTCGTCAACAGATACTTGCTACCAAGGAGTTCCTAATAAACCATAGTAAAAGCACCAACGACTCTACCTGGCTGAGTAAATTCGCAACCTGCTTTTTTCTCTGGGTGCAAGTACTTGCTGCCTGGTAAAAAAAACACCTTAATTTCTAACCCTGTATACTCGCAGGTAACAGTAAAAATGACGCACCTGCGTGGACCAGGTGGCGCTGAGGTTGGTGCTAGGGGGCGCCGCCGCCATCATCGCAGCCCACGTCTGTGCTTCGCGCAGGCAGCCGACATCCCCCATGGTGGCGCTGTACGCATAGTCGCTCCTCCGTCGCTCCTCCCACATCACAAAGTCCGCGTGAACCTGCTTCACGAACACGTCGCCGTCATACCTGCGCACGGAACAACGTGGAAGTTCGAACAATGCAGGGAATGAGACGCCGGCGGTTCGGTCGCCGGCAGCGTGCTGTTACGGGGCAAAGACAATGCAGACGGGGTGCTTGCGTAAATCTACCTTGATCTACCATAAATCGAATTCAGTGCACTTTTCTCGTCGCTGACATCTAACCGGAGGCATCGAACAATAAGCTAGTCTATAGTTCTCCTCTACGAATAAGTTATGTGAGGTAGTGCAGTGGATATCTGCCCCAATAGACACTCCAGAGTTTTTACAATACAGGGCAATATCAATAATGTCACTCAAGGATAATGCTAAAATTGACCTTTACCAACTGGTGTTCTTTCTATAGAAACTTCCACTAATAGTTTTAACAGTTATCTATATTGTGAATATCAAGCGCTATTATTATACTGTTTCACCTACTCGACAAAATAACATTGCTCGACGAATCATGAATTAACCAATTAACATGTCCACAGCATGTGACATACATACATGTGTAGCACGGGCACATATTTTTCTTTGATGTGGGCCATGTGCGGACATCCCAGCGCATCCCAGTCGTATTCCTCCACGACATCCTCCTTTTCGTCCAACAGATGGCGTGCCGATATCGTATAGTTGTACAGCCTTTCACAGGTGCCGTTGCCATCGGCTCTGTAAAGAATCACCACCGAGGAATGACACAAGAGCAGCAGTGTTCACCTGGGCTGCCTCACGGCTGGGCATTAGCTATCACAGAACCAAATTAAAACGTCCGATCAAATCGGTTTCTCATACCTGTAGACCCTGATGTGGCGACTGGGATGGCAACCCACCGATATCTGCGCTACCTGCCACAGGAAAAGAAACACTCCTTCATGTATGCACACCACGGGGCCCGTCGTCACGGAAACATCGTAGCTCTATGATAATTACCGGTACTATTATGAGACACGCGAGAAAAGTTACGACCGAGATTGATATCACTGGTAAAATGTTTATGACAATGAACATGAACTATGTAATGTAAAATGTGAAAAATGTGAAAATATTATAAGACTCAAGTTTATACGCTGGTTTACTTAATACGTCATACCAACACGTTGAACGCCTTACAAAGAACATTCACCCAGGATAACGATTAATGCTAACCACTTGGACGGGAGACGGACAGTCTACATCGAACAATTCCGGGCGAAGTTCGAAGGACACGATTCCTGTGCTGTTGGAAGACCAGTCTCCATAAGAGGTGTTCTCCATGTACTTTCCATCCAGGTGGAACAGGAAAGTCTGCAGAAGGAAATCTGTTAGTATCGGAGTGAAGCATGTGTATGTGCGTGGGTCCTGCTCTAATTTTCACACATCTTGCGGCTGCACACTCCCACGGGAAACCACACGAGAGGTGATCTTTTTAGGCTGACAGTGTCACAGACCAAAACTGCAACAATTTCAAATGATTGGGAAATAAGCCTGGCACATAGGTTTCTACTATAGGTTTACAAATCGTATTGCAAGTTCATAAATGATAAACGCTTTACTATAAAATGTTTACATTAGCCATAACGCTTGATTGACACCTCATACATTTGCTGCAACATACACGGTGACTCACACTGACAGAAAACTTTATGATGGTGAGAAAAAAACTAGAGAAAAACTGAGAAAAATAAATGCTACGTGCATCTACACACCTCAGCATCGTGAATGGAAGGGGCAACGTACCGTATTCTGCGCTAGAATATTGTGACCACCCTGTAATGACGTTGTTGTCGGCTCACACACCAGACACGTGGAGCCATGACTTAGTATCTGTGTGGAAGAACAAATAACAATAAATCTATTCAATTTATCTGAAAAAAATGAAATATGAGGAAATATTAATAAAACAAAATAAGCACTGATAACACTTGCTTGCAAAATAATCAGCCTATATGACGGGTAAATACCCACGTTGCGAAGCTATTAATCTCGAGTTTTACTATGCCAAATTTTACTATATACTAAGTCCATAAGGGTGACTTAACGTAACCCCCTATACTACAAGCGTCCTTTATAAGCAGGTGACCTTTCTATAGAGGTGGTTTCACTATGACTCCCACACGATAGAAATGCCAAATGGCCTTTATGGACAGGTGGCCACTCTTCAGAAGCAACAGCTAAGACAGGTTCGACTGTAATAACAGATAGTAGCAGAGCGGGATAATCCCTGCTACAATTCGTAAGTTTATATTACGCATGCACGCACACACGCACGCACGTACGCACGCATGCACACACACACACACACACACACATATAAAACGTGGATTTTACCCGAACAGACTGAGCATAGGTTGCCTTGTACACGACCGATGCCCACAGCAACAAAGTTTCGCCCAAGTCCAGATGGTAGAGGAGCGACGTGACGTTATGGTCAAAGTGTATGTACTGCAAGTAGGAAAAGGAATTTCGGTTCGTACAGGGTCTCTCTCTCTCTCTTTCTGTCTCTCTCTCTCTCTCTCTCTCTCTCTCTCTCTCTCTCTCTCTCTCTCTCTTTCGCTCTCTATCTCTCTCCCTCGCTTTCTATAATGTTGCTCAAATAAAGTAGTAGTATTATTCCATTTTGTGACCATGCTGTTCAGTAAAACGTTTTGCTTTACAGGCACATGCGTTGCAGAATTCACCGATTTGTAGCAATGGATTTCCCACATACCCTTTCACATATCACTCAAGGAAGAATTTCCCTGCACACACCGCAGTTTTCACAAACACACACACACACACACACACACACACACACACAAACTCACACTCCAAAAATTCAAGTTGTTTTACATAAAAAATTCGAGTTTGCTTATGTACACGCCTATTACGGGCATCTGCCACAAAATCGAAATCACAGGGGGAAGAGGGGCAGGTTTGATCATGCATACATCACCTGACACTTCCTCTCTGGATAGAGGGTGCTCTCTATCTCATTTCGCAGCGGCAGCTTTCGCACGTCGACGGTGCCGTCGGTCGCTGTCAACGCGTAGGGCGCCCCCATCGCATCATACACTAGCGCCACCTTGCTGTCACTCAGGTAACCCAACTCTATCTACATACATCAACGGAATGCAGACATGGTGAGATTTCGAAAACGCAGACAATTTGAATAGTCCCGTATTTAGTAGTTTTATCGATCATCAATTATACTAATTAATTTATATATGAATTTTTTAAATTTCTATTCACCTATTCTATAATTTATTCATGCGTTTGCACAAAGGCAGGTTTTTGTGAGCTGAGTAAGATACTGGCAAACCTGTAAACGTGTTACAGTGAATACTTTGTTGCAGTGAAATAGCGTTGCATATAATACCTGTACTGTTGACTGTAGGCCCATTTTCCCAAACAATGCTTTGTTGTTGTCGAGCTGTATTAGGTAGTCACCGTGTGTAGCTGTAAGCAACAAACACAAACTAGGTTAAGTGTGAATAACAATCACAAATTTTGCCCCGTTTTCACTTATGGCCTTTGCCATTTGAAACGCAATGAATCTGTGGCATGAAAACCTTACCAATACATACTTACAGGTATCATTACAAGTACGCAGGTATTAAAAACACATGACTGTTTGTTAATCAACATTGTGACATGTGGCTGACATACAAGTGCCATCTAAAGGGATCAACCAATAAAAACACAGATTAACCAAGTCAACTTCGATAGTAGTACACGGCTTGAGTGTGACACATAAATAAACATATTTACAGATGCTCTCACATATACTACACATCATTATATATGATAACATAAATATGAAAACATGCTGCTGAATTAGTTAACCACATACCATTATATGTATCCTAGAAGGGCAACCGATAGAATAAGTATTCCCGTGCTTGTGATGATTCAGTTTTTTTGCAAACAGTACTGCAACTATGCATGAAAATAACATTCACAGCTGCTATTTTCGGTGTGTACGTACATACCCGCAACCTGCTGGATGGCCTCCTGGGACAGGGTGGTCGAGTAGAGCAACATGTCATCCGAGGCACCTCCTGCTGGGCAATGCAACATTATCAGTGATGCACCATTATCAGCAATGCAACATTATCAGTGATGCACCATTATCAGTGATGCACCATTATCAGTGATGCAACATTATCAGCAATGCAACATTATCAGTGATGCAACATTATCAGCAATGCACCATTATCAGTGATGCAACATTATCAGCAATGCAACATTATCAGTGATGCAACATTATCAGCAATGCACCATTATCAGTGATGCAACATTATCAGTGATGCACCATTATCAGTGATGCAACATTACCAGCAATGCAACATTATTAGAAATACAACATCTCATTATAAGTAATTCAATATTAGTCATTATATACCATGCAACCTATCAGGTACTACGAGTAATGCAATGTTATCAGCAATGTAACATTATCATTCATTATCACCAGTGCAACCTAATTAGATGCTATCAGAAATGTTACATTATCAGCAATGCAATATATATCATTAACTAAACACAAACATTAATTAAATGCCAGATATTATCAGTTCAATCCAACATTGATAATTTTCAGAACACTACTTAAATCACGGATTTTTATAACCACATAACTGATAATAGGGATAATTGAACAATGAAGACGAGGTTAGACGTACCCACGCGAGTGGTCTGCATGAACATCGTAAATGGTGACCAGTAGAGGTAGGTTGGAACGCCAGCAAGAAGATACATCAGCCCTGCCCTGAAGTCATCTAAATAAAAACATCAATAAACATTCCATCACCTAGAAACATCTATATATACACGTGCGTGCATGTAGTATACACTTTGTCGAACTCAGACTACCAGCAACGGGTAGCGATGAAATGCTGACGACAAAATAAAATCCATTTGCCAGTTCTCAATATTTTCACGATCATTAGGCGATTAATTGCTGTTAGGTTATTAATTGTGTTCTCCACATGGCTGCTGATAGAAGAGTACCCTACCAGGCTGCTCATGGTTCTGTATCTGCAGTTCTGTCGCAGTCCAGCTAACATCTTGCATGTTAAACTCCAGCAGTAGCACCTAATAACAACCACACGAAAAACAAATACGAAACGGGAAATTTTAGGTGATACTCACATACAGCTTGCAAAGAGGTTCATAACAATATACCCACACCCAGATGCATATATGGAGATTAGCACCCAGACTAAATGCATGTAGATTAGCTACCACGAAGCTACATGAATCACAAGGGAATAATTTCCCCCTACAATTTTCAAGCATTATTATCGCTCATAAGTTGTGAACTGTAGTATACCTGCGACACGTCACTAGCAGGGGAGACCATGGCTCCAATTAAATGATCACTTGCTCCAAATGCAACATGATGTACAATAGCCTAAACAAAAACATATAAATTAATCTCACTTCTATTGACAAAACCTCGTAAGCAAAGTTAGACACATCCGATCAAATTCTATAGCAGTGGGCAGATTCCATTGACAAAAGCATACTAACAATATCAACTAAGTCAATGTTTAGATTACTATGGCTATGCAGATTGAAATCAATTGATAAAATGATGTTTCATATAAATTTTTTCCACGAAATCAGCCATGACTATCTAATGAATGCAAATGCAAATAATGGAACAGATATTTAACAAACAACTTTTACACAACTCACAAAATAAAAACAATTTCAACACACGTTACAAGCAGAGCAATGCCTGACAAGCGAGAATACCGGAATGCCTGGCAGCAAATCCGTGGGAAGATCTAGTTCCACAAATGTTCCAAAATTGTCCGGATTATTTATGAACACGGAGCTGGCATTCCAGACCGCAAACATCTTGTTCATGCCCTGATAGGTGAAAAAGACATTGATATGGAATTGACATGTAGAACAGTGCTTCACGTAGCTGTTAATGGGTCTAAAAATCCCCAGTCATTTTGGAAATATAATGATTCAACTCCGATCCTCATGACAAAATGTAACTAATCAATTCACTGAATTATTCACTCGATTTTATTTACCGATCATCGAATCTCTGAACTAATGAGTTACCCGACGAATTAAATCGAGAGTTGGAAGACTGGATCAAACGATGTTGTGTAACACTTATTGTACTGCTCCGACAGTCAAGGGTAGATGCTGCGAGTGAGCAAGGTGGAGGCTATGATTTAATCATAAACTGTCATCACTCAAAAGGCTAGCCCTTACCCCACTAGACAAGCCCATGAAGCACCAGTCTCGCCCTTTCACACCCAGCAATCCTGTAGCTGGTAATCCTGTGTTGTTGTAAGAAAGAAATTACCACACGGCAACAAAACCCACACACGGACTATAGCACGACCTTACTTCAAATATATTCACGCCATGCGTTGACATCTTTCAAAGCAACTATGTGTGCAAGCATGCATTCTTTACAGTATGCATCCTTTACACGGACACACACACGCATGCACGTACGCACACACACATGTACACACGCAGGATGTGCCTGTTCTAGTACCTTCAGCAGACAGGCAGGAGTTCCCTTCATCTCCACACATGTAGAGAGCATCGTCGGTAAGCAAGGCGACGTGGTTGGAACTGAAGGCAGCAGATAGGATGGACCGCGAACCAAGAGCCTTACGACAACAGGAGAATCACGTAGAAATGACTGCTTTTCATGTAAAGTGATCACACGGACAGGACTGCATTCCGGACAAAACGTTTATGACTGCATCGCAGACAAAGAAACTGCATGGAAAGGATTGCACTGAGGACAAAGAAACTGCATGGAAAAGACTGCATTGGGGGAAAAGAAACTGCATGGAAATGATTGCATTGGGGGCAAATAAACTGCATGGAAATGATTGCATCACAGACAAAGAAATGGCATGAAAGGATTGTGTTGGGGTGTTGGGGATAAAGAAACTGCATGGAAAGGACTGTGTTGTGTACAAAGAAACTGCATCGAAATGATTGCATTGGGGACAAATAAAATGCATGGAAATGATTGCTACTTCATTACCATGCACTATTAGATTAAGTCAAAGCAGGCAGGAGGCGTCTGCAAAAACAAATAGGAAGGTAGATGTATATTGACAGATTACATATGCCAACTACATGGATCTAGTAATTTGTCCACCTGTTCTGGGATTCTGACTTTGGTCACGGTCCTGAAGTTGTCCTGTGTAAGAAGAAAGGAGTCGGTGCCCACTATAGCTGCGACATTCTCATCACAGGCATCCTGAAGAAAACAGCAATTTTGTGGCATTAATATTAACAGAGAATAAACACATGCACACACACACGCAGTCACGCACGCACACATGCATGCACACATGCGCGCACACGCACACGCGCGCACACACATGCACACACAAACACACACGCACACAAACACACACGCAGACACACACACACTCATGCACACACTCATTATTACATTATTTATATTAATTAACCTGCGAATGAAAAGTCCTCATGGTTCAACCTGTGACCAACCCTCAGTTTGGAGGGTGCTAGTTAGGATGCCACCTGGTTGACAACTGCTGAATTAACACCAGTGGCTGGTTTCACAAAGTGTAATTAAGTCCTTAATCATGATTCTAACCTCCCGTACTTAAATTGAAGTGACTGCTTCACCAATTACTAATTAACTTTAATCATGATTAAGTTAATCACAATATTTAATTCTATTCAGGAGCATGATTAAATCTACTAATCATAATTAGTTGCTAGTACTAGTAGTAGTATGTAGGTAGTACTAGTACAGTAAATAGGCTGCAGATTTTACAATTGGAAATTTTACTTCCATTTTTTCCCAAGGAAATTTAAATTAACTAAGATTAGCTATACTAATTTAGTAATTATAATTGCAAATTAGTTCCTTTTCAGATACGGTTCTGTCGCATGCATTACAGACCGAATTCAGATCTCTAGTGTTGGTTACATCTTCATTCAAACACAACTGTAATTGCACACAACTGCGCTTACCCTGATGGCAATAGGGGTCGCTACTGCTGCTATGAACACATCCTGCAAAGGACATGGTACCATCGTCTTCATCATCATCAGCTTCATTATCATATCATAGCTTTATCATCTATTGAGGAACCAATGTAATAAACTTGTCAAAGAAAGAATTTAGATCGGATCCACTCTCAAGCAGTCAATGCTGAATATCATGGAAACCGATCATTTTTCCACCACGGTAAAGATGAATAGGTAGGGGCAACAACAGCTTGTAATTCACACATACAGGATCGTCAGCTCCCGCAGCAGGTAGTGGAAACTTTGGCATGGTCAGCATTACAACAGTATCGCTGTAAAATAACCAAAGATGCAATGCACAACTCATGCTGCATCTAAATTATCTAGATTACTGCATACATACATACATAAATAAATAAATAATATATATATATATATATATATATATATATCACAAATCAAAAGATGTCACATTGTAAATACAAAAAAAACAAGACGAATAAATTATAATAGACGACGAAAACGACATTCAAATTCCACTAAATCAAAGGAACTACGAACTTACTCGACAAAACAGTCGTACAGACCGAACAAACTCCCGCTGATCTTCACTGCTAACTGATGGTGCATGGCCATACTAGACTGAGAGTTACTTGTAAACATCCAACAGCTGTAAACAGATAACATTAAATACACAATACGATCACAAATATCTCAAAAATTAAAGTTGGGTGACTGCATGACTACGCTTTTAGGCTATCCAACCGCTATACTCTCACTATAAAGATATTAAAGATTAAAGAACGTCAGACGTATGGCAACAAGAAAAATCTCGCAACACAGGTTGTAGCCTACACTTTGTACAAATTGACATCAATCTCTGTCTAATTAAGCTGACCTGCAAGCCTCGTCAAATTTCAGTGGAGAGAACCAGTCTTTAAAGTCGTCTGCATTGTGAAGCATTTCTGAGAGCGTTGGGTCCTGCCCCCTGGTGTAAAATACTCGAGTGATGCTTGCTGAGTACTGCACGAATATAAAACAGAAAGTCAGAAACGCATTGCATATCTTAGTATCATGGTTCCGGTTTGGGTTTTATTGTTTTAGGGAATCTCATTACCTGAGATGGCTGCAAACTTGTCCTATTGGTTTCACCCACACTCTGGTGCAGAACATCTAAAATCCATAACTTCAATTCCTGTAATAACAAAATTACTAGAAATAAGTACGCACACATGTACACATATACATACTTTTTAAAATCATATAATTAATAAACTGAAATATTCTAAATAAGCTTAACACACTAAAACTTACTAGATTTTGTCTTGACCAATCTTTTTCCACACTATATAAATAAAATTGTATAAATCAATACACACTATTAGATTTGCATAACAAGGTATTAATTAAATTGTGAAAGAAAATTATTCTGCATCTAAACCTCAGGATGCTACGATGCAATAATGAATAGCAACTATCATGTAATTAGAAAACAAGATAAAACTTAATAACAGCCTAAAAACCCTCATTTTCAACCTACCCCTAATCATGTTGAATGTAATTAATTCATATAATACAAGTGTGAAATATATCATACCTACTAACAACTAGGTACCAGGAGTAGCAAGCGTGATTGTTAGATACGGTGATATAGCGAACTGGATCCGTCACATCTGATAACACGTGTTTCACTGCAAAGCCAAACTGACCTGCTGCTGGACATGTCACCTCAGTAGTATGTGCACTGAACAACAGACGGAAACCAATGTACTATCAAATTGAGGTTGCACAAGTAATATCTGTGACATGAGGGCAAGAATAATGGGGCATCCCTGTTATTTTACTCTGGGTAATACGTGGTTATTGCATTCATTTTGGTTACCCTGACGGTCATTAATCGGTGTCATTAGGACAGCAGTTTTATGCAGCATATACGATTGACTATTTTTAACCACTATATTTTGCCACTTATATTGGATTTCAGCCAAGAAATTATTGTTTTATATCAATAAGGCATGCTTAGTCTTGGTTCTGTATGGCAACTACCCACTTGTGTTACTGCCAATGCTGTTGACCAATTAATTATATGTTTTTTTTATTTATTATGTGTTTAGACCATTCACCTGCTGTTGGACACCAGGCAAGTTCTTGAGGCTTGCCACTCAATAGCTTCATCATTCTCCACAGTGACATAGTGTAGTTCTATGATACTCCTGGTTGTGAACATATCTTCATTTCCAAAGATAGCTCGATACCTTGGCCAAACAAATAATAAACTGTCTAAACCAGTCCAACCAAGGACACCACAGGCAAAGGCTATGTCAACTGTGTCGTGTATTCAACGACATGTTGAGGGTAAACAAGTTAGTCATGTCAACGATAATGTACTGTTATGGTATTATCATTATTATTATTCAGTATATATGCCTTCCCATATTTTGCATTATTATGCAAATTATTGAATATTTTTTGACGTTGTCAGTTGAATTATGTACTTCAATCAAATAGTAATACTGTACCGTACTGCGTAATATCAAATGCGAAAATTTGAGAACCTACCCACCATGCACCGACCCATGTATTTTGGATTTCAACGCTTTCAAATATTACAGTTACATAAGTCATAACA